AGGCCTTGGATAATCAGTTTGTGAGATTGGATAATTCAGAGCCTAGTCAGGTCCTAGCTTATGTGTTTTCTTGGTCTTCGTTATTCGATCGCATCAGAGAGTGCCATTATGATGATCCTTATTTGCTTGTCCTCAAGGACAAAGTTCAGCACGGTGATGCCAGGGATGTGACTATTGGTGATGATGAGGTGTTGAGGATGCATGGCCGGATATGTGTGCCCAATGTGGATGGGCTATGGGAGTTGATTTTTGAGGAGGCCCATAGTTTGTGGTATTCCATCCATCCAGGTGCCACGAAAATGTATCAGGATTTGAGACAGCACTATTGGTGGAGGAGAATGAAGAAAGACATAGTTGGGTTTGTAGCTCGGTGTCTCAATTGTCAGCAGGTAAAATATGAGCATCAAAGACCGGGTGGTTTGCTTCAGAAGATAGAGATTTTAGAGTGGAAGTAGGAGCGAATCACCATAGATTTCATAGTTAGGCTCCCACAGACTTCGAAGAAGTTCGATGCTATTTGGGTGATTGTGGATCGGCTGACCAAGTCCGCGCACTTCATTCTTGTGAGCACTACCTATTCTTCAGAGAGATTGGCTAAGATTTATATTAGAGAGATTATTCGCCTTCATGGGGAGCCAATTTCTATCATTTCAAATAGAGGCACGTAGTTTACATCGCAGTGTGGAAGGCCGTAAAGTGAGAGTTGGGCACGCAGGTTGACTTGAGCAGATCATTTCACCCTTAGACGGACGGACAATCCGAGCACACTATCCAGATATTGGATGACATGATATGCACTTGTGTCATTGTTTTTGGGGGTTCATGGGACTAGTTTCTACCACTCGCGAATTTTGCTTACAACAATAGTTATTAGTCGAGTATTTAGATGGCTCCGTATGAGGCTTTATATGGGAGGCGGTGTAGATCTCCAGTGGGTTGGTTTGAGCCGAGTGAGGCTAGGCTTTTGGGTACAGACTTTCAGGATGTATTGGACAAGGTGAAATTGATTCAGGAGCGGCTTCGCACGGCACAGTCGATACACAAGAGTTATGCTAACAGAAAGGTCTGTGATGTGTCTTACAGATTGGGGAGAAGGTGTTGCTGAAGGTTTCACCCATGAAGGGTGTTATGAGATTTGGGAAGAAGGGCAATTTGAGCCCTCGGTTTATTAGGCCATTTGAGGTGCTTCGAAGGATTGGGTAGGTGACCTATGAACTTGCTTTGCCAGCTAACTTATCGAGTGTGCATCCAGTATTTCATCTTTCTATGCTTCGGAAGTATATTGGTGATCCATCTCATGTTTTAGACTTCATCACGATTCAGTTAGATGGTGATTTGACTTATGATGTAGAGCTAGTGGCCATTTTAGGGTGTCAGGTTCGAAAGTTGAGGTCAAAGGATATAGCTTTGGTAAAGGTGTAGTGGAGAGGTCAGCCCGTAGAGGAGGCTACTTGGGAGACCGAGCGGGAGATGCAGAGCAGATACCTATACCTATTTGAGGCTCCAGATATGTTTCTAGACCCGTTCAAGGATGAACGTTTATTTAAGAAGGGGATGATGTAACGACCCGGCCGGTCATTACGAGAGTTATAGCCTCGTTCCCCCTTTTCCTGCTTCTTTTGTGTTCTTTAGCTATATTATGATTTACCAGGTCAGTTGGTTCGGGTTCGGAGTGGTTTTGGAGTGAATTGAGACACTTAGTCTCTTAGGAGAAGGTTTAAGTTGGAAAAGTTGACCGGATGTTGACTTATATGTAAACAATCTTGGGATTTAATTTTGATGATTCTGTTAGCTCTGTTACATGATTTTGGACTTAGGAGCGTGGTCCATATTGTTATTTGGAGGTCTGTGGTAGAATTAAGCTTGAATTGGCGAAAGTTAGAAAGTTAGAACTTTGGCGATTTTGGTCGGCAATGGAAATTTTGATATCGGGGTCAGAATGGAATTCTGGAAGTTAGAGTAGGTTCGTGGTGTCATATTTGACTTGTGTGCAAAATTTGAGGTCATTCGGACGTGGTTTGATATGTTTCAGCATCGTTTGTGGAATTCGTAAGTTTAGAAGTTCTTAAGCTTGAATCGGGGGTAATTTGGTGATTTGATGTTTTTTTTGAGTGATTCGAAGGTTCGACTAAGTTTGTATGATGTTATGGGACGTGTTGGTATGTTTGGTTGAGGTCGCGAGGGCCTCGGGTGAGTTTCGGGTGGCCAATGGATCATTTTTGGCCTTGGTGAGATTGCTGATGTCTGTTGTATATTTCTTCTGGTTTCCTTTTTCGCGTTCGCAAGTGGGTCTTCACATTTGCGAAGAGTGTTTTCTGGGTGATGAGGATTTTGTTCTTCGCGTTCGGAAAGGAGGGGACACGAACGCGAATGCGAAGGTGTAGTCTGAGTGTGCATCGCAAACGCGGGAGCAGGGTTGCGTTCGCAAAGAGGAGTGAGGCAGTTGGGAACCCGATGTCCTTAATCTATACATTCGCGAGGTGGTTGTTGCGTTCGCAAATGTCTGAGCCATCAAAGCATCGCATTCGCGGGGCATGTGTCGCTTTCGTGAAGAGTAAAGTGGAGAGGCAGTCAAGTTGTTCTACGCGAACGCGAGAGAAAGGTCGCATTCGTGAAGAAGGAAATCTGGGCAAACAGTGTTATATTCAAAATCGAGGGTTTGAGCCAATTATTCATATTTTGAGCTAGAGACCACGTAATTGAGCGATTTTTGAAGGAATTTTTAGGGAGTTGATTGGGGTAAGTGTTCCTCACTTGATTTTGGTTAAATTCCATGATTATATCTTGATTTTTGTCATCTAAATTATGAAGTGGGGTGAAAAATTGAGGGGGG